TTATTAATAATTTAATCAAGTTCTCTAGTTAATCAAAGTCTCGTTATCTGACCATAAGGATGCGGTAAGCACTCGACTAGTCTTATCGTTAAAAAACAACTTACTTTATTTTGACGCGCGCACGGAGCGGAAACGAGAAGTTTTCAAGTTGCGCCATTAAATAAATATTAGGAGACCATTAGTTTAAAAGCCGAACAATTTACGAATGCGCCGTTCAAAAAATGAACAAAGCTACACATTCTGTCTACAATGCGACCGAGTTCTAACACATAATCGATATTGAGGGGGTCTGTCTCGTCTCCCTGCGAATGCCACAGAGCCACATTCAAGGTAGACCTGAGCGGCACATACTGAATATTAGATTGCGTTAATTAAGTTCCCGAGATGAGTCTGTATTGATCGTTAACGTGAGCAAATGTATCGTCGACGTTACCATTCACCTTCTCGTGCGAGGACAAAGCCCTTTTGCCACAAGTGAAATTTGATTCAGTTGAATTCCCTAAACGCGCCATCTATCCGTCGGCTCCCATGGCGCAACGTTCTGAATTATCGACCATGTCTCAAAGCACTTTTTAGCGCATCTATTGTTCACACTTTGTCCGTCTGTCTGTCCATCTGTTCCCCTACTAGTCCTTCAGTTTAGACTTCATTCCCGAGGTATTACTGATTCTGTGCGGAGAAAAGGCGCTTTCAAGGGTAGCCAGTGACGACGTCTAGACTGGTAAAGGTTTCCTTTTTAAAACAAATGAGGTTGTTTTCTATTAGTTCAACGTAAATTAAAAACGAATTAATTCTATAGGGAAGATACAAAACTCGTCAGTAAACTGACCTCGAAACTGGCATAACTTAATTCGAAAATTAAAGTAAGTACTCGGCCCCGAGGGGGCCTCGTACTGCAATATAATGTGGCATTTTCTTGACTTTTTATGTAAATAGCCATGTGCAAGTGGTCTCCGAGGTGTCTCAGACAACAGACGCCTCGACAGACGCCATTAGAGTTTCTGAATTGTAAGAGCGCAAATGGAACCGGCGAAAATTTTGGAAATAGACGAAAGTTTACTCGTCGCTGTTTTCAATTACGCGCAAAAACAAATTTTTTTTTAGTTCAATGTACTTGTGCGTTTACTTTATATTTAGAGAACGATTTTTTCATTGAGCAGTAAAATAATTTAAAGGAGGTGTGTTCGTATTTAAGAGATAACGTGATAAACGAGAATTTTCCACTTGATTATAAATTTTATCATTGAGCCAGGGCCATTTGAAGTTACAAACATACACTTAGGGTGCAGTCGTTTTTATTTTATTTTTAACACAGAAAAGTGTTTTACGAATGTAAAATTAAAAGCGCGACACCTCTTAAGACACAAGTCTTGAAAGCTTTTAAAATGTGCACAGTGTGATTTTGTAATACATCACCACCATGCCCTGAAACGACATCTCTTATACACAAAACGTAAAAGGATTTAAAATGTGCACACTGTAATGGCAATGGCACTGTACCCATATACAGGGTGTTTCAAAAAAAGGTCGGATATTTTATCCGCGTATAGTATTGTCAATTTTTGAGCTATACAAGACACTGTTGACAGATTTTCATACATCGCTTCACTTCGGAGAAATCATCAACTTCATTCTTTTTATATGGTCCGTAAAAAAGTACATACTGTATTGAGTAGTACTTTTTATTACGAATACAACGATGTACGGGATTAAAAAAACACAAGTTGGAAGCCGTTGGTTTCAACAGGATGGTGCACCCGCCTATAGGACAAATTTCATATGTCCGGTAGGTATTCTTCCACGGTGTCCGGGTGCACCACCAACATATTGAAAAAAAGTTTTGACATCACAAGTAGATGTGGGTAGCGTGGAAGCGCGAATGAAATTAAGTCAGCCACCGGGAATTTTTATCGTAGGGTGGATTTTATTTAGTGTAATTTGAATTCGAGTCGAGCCAGCGAAGTTAAGAAGACCACTTGTAAATATTACTTATGCGGTTCCAGTAGCAAAATAAGTCCAAACCACACGAGAAAAAAGTTTGTAGTGGCCTTCACTTAAAAGGGATATTTTCCGATTTAGAAACCAGCACCGTAAATACGAACAATGGTTAAAATTAACCCATAAAGATAATAACGGAATGACTTTAAGTAAGGTTTATGTTCGCGAATTGAAAACTATTACGATAAATGCGAACAATAGCGTAATTTTTTAACGCGCAGAAAATAAATCATCGTCATATTCTAAATTTAAAAGTACAAGACGTAATCAGTCGCCTATTTGCAGTGGTCGATTTTTAATGACATTGACACTAGGGAATGCAATCCCGCAGCAAAATCTCAATCCCGGTATTTGCGGGATCGTTAGATGTTAATCCCGCGGGATCCCGGTATTTGCGGGATCCCGCAAAATTTTAAATAAATTGGCAAATAAGCAATTTTGTGCGGTTAACTCCTCTATTAAAATAAATCGATAATTATCACAATAAGTATTCAACAAAAAAGTACATTCAGCCTACCTTAGAACACAAAAAAATTACCTGTAAAGCACAAAAAGGTGAACTAAAGTGCCTCATTTTTAACGAGAAAAGTTTAACAATTATTTTAAAACTAATTTTTCCGTTTGATTAACAAAGCAAACAGAGTCGTCCCCTTGGTCGACACATTCCTCAGTCCCGCAAATCCCGCGGGATCCCGCTCCATTTATGTGCGGGATTAATCCCGCAAAAATGCTGCGGGATCCCGGTATTTCGGGATCCCGCGATCCCGGGATTGCATTCTCCAATTGACACTTACCGTCGGATATTATAAATTTTTGAATCACCGTCCTTCAATTCCAAATCCAAGAGGTCATTCTACGTGATTTGATATCGACAGTCCTGTTCAATGATTATGAGCAGCCTAGTATTTGGGAGACCTCACCATTGGTTTGCTATATAAATAGGGAAACGCATTTTTGGCTTAAATTAACCAAAAAGGTGCCCACTTAAATTAGTATGTACTGGATTTTGAAAAGAAATTAACATTAGTTTTGTTACTGTCATAAATTGATTTTTTTTAATATACAGGATCGCTGATAAGTACGCAAACTGGAAAATTTACAAAATATCGAAAAAAGATTTATACAAAAGTTTTGTCTACCAGACAGTAATAATTTTAATTTTAAGAAAAATATCGTTCTGTAAAAACGCCAGGACGTTATTTAGGCGGAAATAGTACCGAAGAAAATAACGCACCACCCTGTATATCCGAATGTTTTAATTTAATTTAAATCTGGAGGACATCATTACGAATTTGAACAAAATTGATTTATTTCATCGGAATTTGTATTTTAGTGTCTATTTCTCCATTTTAAAATTGTTTTTCATTATTTGTTTTAATTTTATCATTTGTGTAAATTTGTTTATTTAAATTGTAAAACGTGAAAATTGCGTTGTCTAAAACTAAAGAACATCTGGTCGTTTTGTGATAAGGAATGTTATCGGACGAAAGTTAATTGATTTCGTGACGCACGTGTGTGACTCTGATAACATGTGCATGATTTATTTTAATTATTTATTTTACTGGGTAGCTCCACCAGGCAGCACTTAGGCCCATTATGCCTACTCCCTTTCAGGTTCAGAGCCCGTTCCCCTCAATAAAGGATAGAACCCTGTTTAGCCTAATCTGCTGCACCCTCCCCGGTTCCAGATAGCTGCGTCCAAGGAGTTGATGTCTGTCTCTGATCAAGGCGTTACAATAACAGACCACATGCACGGTAGTTTCATCTACCTCCCCAGAGAACCTGCAGGTGGGCTCCTCCACGATTCCAATATTATGCAGGTGATAGTGGACCATCCAGTGCCCAATCTGGCTTCTCTTCAGTTTTAGAATCTTAGAAGACCCAGATTTTCCCAGGGCCCCTGTTTTGCGCATAATTTTGCTATGCAAGAGGGAAGACCTCAAGCGCTCCTTATTGGTGTTGCATTTGACATTAGCGGAAGTAGGAGTGGTGTTCTGTTAAATACGAAATTAAAGAAAAACAACGGGACTTGTTACCCTAAGGGGGCTTGTTACCCTAAGGTGGCTGTCTCGCCGTAGGCTGTTCATCTCGCGACGGGAAAAAAGCGTGTACGTTTCTGTACGCTAATTTTGTTTGGTTACTTGCGTGTGGGGTTAATGTAACGGGTTTGTGTCCCTCTTTATTTCAGGTTTTTCTTGACAATTTTTTGCGTATGTGTTTCTGTCTCCTAAATTATTAATTTCGAGTCATTATTAGGATTTTGCTTTGTAGCAAATGCTGCAGTTTCAATTTTTGATTTATTTGAGCTAGTTGGACAGGCGTTTTCCAGATGGTGTCGTGGCCCGCACAAGGCATTATTTATTTGGCGCCCAACGTGGGGCCACAGCAATCGACAAGTTATCGATAACCTGGAAACGATTGAATTTGGGTGCATTAGCTTCATAAAAATTTTGCTTAAAATTGAGAGAAGAATTAAAATATCGAATAATATACAGGGTGTTACATTTATAAAATGCAATTTTGGCATGCCACGCCTTTATGACCAACCCTGTATAATTAAAATTACACCTACTGGGGCCATGTAATTAACAACTTTAGGGAGGAGGCTACATGATATGAGGTCGTCGACATCTGGGCGCCATCCCCGACCGTGTTATACTAACGTGGTGATTTTTCTTGTACAGTTTTGGTCCTTTTGTTTTTAAATTGGTGTCGTCGGAAAGAACTTGTAAAGGCACGAACTTTGATAATTTTTTCTCCGAGGGCTTCAGCAAAAAGACTTTCGACTAGTCGAAATAATCTATCCTATTCAACATCTCCACTTGTAACTTCCATCTTGAAAAAGATCTTCCCTCGATTTCAGACAAAATGCCTCTAAATTCTATCGAAAAATGACTTGTTTGAAATGAACCGAGAAAAGATCGATTTTCGCCTTTAGAATCAAAATTGTTAGCATTTTTGTGAATGAACACCAGAAGTTATATAGGATGAAGACTACTTACGTGCATGGAATGGCACAAAGCCTTCTCGCTGATTTGCATAGTTGGCAGTTTTTGCCAATTTTCATGTGTGGAATATAAAAATGAACATCCTGCGGGTCACACCAAAATGACCCCCCCTTCCAAGAAACGAGACAATGAAACTCTCACCACAATCGCGACAAGGCCCATTTTTTGGCCAATTAATTAGAACCGAGTCCATTGCAACTTTAACCTTGGAGCCCAGTTCTACCTGGAAAAATGCGAAAAAAATGAACTTATTTATAAGATTATGATCTTGGCATTAACGCAAATTTCAATGTGTCTATTTTAATGTTGACCATTTGCGTATTTCGACGCGCGGTCAATTTCCAACCACGCGCAATAGATTTCGTTATTAGCATGCAAATTCATTTGTCCCTGAATTATCGCCTATTGTTTGTGGAACGTTTCGGTTTCGGCCTCGCTTATTAATACATTATAGATTTTACGAGGAGGAGGAGGACCCGAAACACCTGCAGGATGTTGACCCATAACAAAATCTCCCGAAAGGTGAATAAAACAATTGACACAGAGCGAGTTGCCTACCGCAAGTCGTGTACTTGTACGAGTCCAAGTTCAAGGTTCCATACTTGAGCGGCTCGCATCGATAATAATAATAACCCGTCCAAAGTGATTGGCAGTTAATAAGCGAATGAAAATCAATCTCAGTTTTAACCCCAGAAGTACGATTGAAATTAGCGTCGAAGGAGGGGGTGGGTTGTTCGGGTTGGAAAGTACGACGACCCCCTTTTCGTCCTTGCAAGTCAAATCTGTTTCTGTGTACATAACCGCAACTAGTTTATTGAACGGGGAAACGAGTTGCGTTTCTAATTTTCCTCGAAAAGTTGAAATACTGACCTTGAACTTTATTTCGTAATGAGACGCCGTCGTTCCCTAATCAATTATTACGGCGCGACGCGACTAAATCGCGGCGCGGTGATAATTTAAACGCACGCCCTCTGAAAAGCTTCGTCCTAACTTTGGGAGTATCCAGACTTTTTGGGTCAGATCAAAATTTGAAAATATCCAAATTCAAATTGTCAATTTCAGAATGACCCTATACATTCTTATTTAAAAGAGGAAACAAAAAAAAAGTTTTTTTATAATAATATTTTCAAAATATGTATACCAAGTAAGCAAAAAAAGTTGTCGAACATAACCTCATTTTTTAAACACCCTGTACATTTTAATCTAAAAAGATACGATAATATATTCTCTTTTGAAAAATGTAACATTAAAATATTTTAAAAAATTCAAAATTGGTTTAAGATTCGATTTAAAAAATTCAAATTTTGACATTCTGTTGGATGTTTTCAAATCATTTTTAAAAACGTTTTAATTTTTTTGAATATTCCTGATGTGTTAAATTTTTGAAAAGAGAATTTAATATGCTATATTTTTAGATTCAAATATACAGGGTCCTGCTTATAACTAAGGAATTATTCTAAAATTGACATTTTTTTGATTTCCCCTTTATCCTTGCCTCTATCTCAGCGGCCAAATGTTTTCAAATTTTGATTTTACCATTTTTGTTTGGCCCAAAAAGAGCACATAACGCCTAAATTACTTTCTAATTCCGGAGATACCCTATAATAGGATCAACAATGGGACACCCTATACTTCTTGCTTTTTCGATGGCCTGGAGTAAAACTTCGGAACAAATTAAGATCATTAGAAACTAGAAATTTCGCCAAAACGTTTCCGCTATGTTACAGACCAAGACCAATTTTTAATTGCCATTACGGCAATAGCTGTCAACGGTATTAAAAATTCTGAAAATAGACTCCCTTTCTAAAAACCAACTGGGCCCAAAAGTGTGACTATTTCCCTCACTCGTGCTCGAAAATCTGAAATTAAAGAAGCAGCGCCGGCCAGAAATTCTGACCACCACACCAAAGCAGATTAAAGCGAGATGGTAAAATGGCGGTTAGTAAAGCGGAATCTGATTCTGGATCACGAAAAAGTTAATACTCACATTTATCTAATTCCTTGCTTGTCAACGCGATTTAGCGGCAAGTGGAAAGTTCGCATCAATCTATAAAGAATAGGATTCGTTTTAGTCGGTGCCAGTGCCAAAAATGTTGTAAATTATAACGTGTTGTTATTATTAAATAGCGCCACCGTGACTCATGCGATAAAAAATGCTTCAATTTCCTCCCGCTCTTTTTCCCGAGGTCTCGAAAACCGCGTCGATATTCGATGTCAATGCCGCCGTATGAAGTTACGAAATGATCCTTGAGGTAATTCATAAATTGGCAGTCGGTAACCGATTGTCATTATCATTTCAATGTCACTTTACGTACGCGAAATTGCCGTTGCAATTACAAGCCGTACGTAGGGAAACAACGGGAACTCTTAATTGGGTGTCTCGCAAGACACCGTTCTTCGTCCTCTACCCGTCCAAACGAATTAGGCGACATTCAAAATGAGACAAAGGGGGCGACGCGTCAATTGGATTGTTTTATTTTGCAGGGTCGCGCCGATTAGCGCGATTTAATTAAATTAGTGCAACGTTTTTTATATTTTATGAACGCTTAAAACGGGATTAGGGTCGTTTTAATCATTTGAAAATCAAGGTACAGCGCAGGGTTTAATTGATTTAATTTTAGTTCACAATCTTTAATTTCATCGGTTTCTTCCCTTTTATCAGCACAGATTCGAATGCATAATTAGATGCTAATTGTGAGCGGTTTAGACAAAGTTTTTCGATATTTTAAAAATTGCAGAACGTCGAACTTCCCCATAAATGATTTTTTGCTTATAGCGCCGTTGAAACATTTTGAAAAAAAATCCATATACGGGGTGGTCCAGACCCTACCACCAGTTTTATAACTCACGGGACGCTTGCAAATTTCAAATATCTCGATTCTAACACCGAAAATAATGACGAGGCATCCTGTATATAAGAAACATTTCAATCTATTAACGTAAATCGGGAGGAGTATTTACAAATAAGAACAAAATTGATTTATTTCATTTGAGTTTGTATTTCTGTGTTATTTTTCCTTTTAGAATTATTGTAGTTGTGTATTTTTATTTCAATCTATTTATTTGTAAAATTTGCGTGGTAAAATGTAGGAACATCTGGTTGCTTGATATTGATAATAAGAGCTGTAGGTAGACAACGTTGTGCGCATTATTCTCGGCGTAAGTGGGAACGCGTTGCTTCGAAGCTGGCGTTATCAAAGCTTATTGAATTTGCCGCAATTATTTCTAAATACTGGAAGGAGTTTTTTGTTTGGTGGAGGTGGTGTTTCGTTAAATACTACATACAACAAAAAACCGGACCTGATTCGCGACGGTTGGAAAAAAGTGTATCTCTCTTTACGTATTTATTTAGACTATCCGCCCAATTTGATTGATTGAAAACGCTGTTCGTCATTTTCATATTTTCACATTAATTAAAGAAAAGTGAAATTCTGAATCTGTCTGAGATTGTGTTGAGTTAAGTGCGGCAGTTTATCGCAAACCTGCTCATGACCAGATTTAGAATTTTTAAGAGAAAAAAATTTTCTTATTTTTAATTATTGGCCGTCTGCGTACGGGGTACAATGTCAAAACATGCTTTGTTATTTTATTTCAGGAGTATTATGTTTCATTGGTTTCCTTCAATCTTTCAGACACTTCTCTGATGCTTCGGATTATTCAATTTTAATTCCCTAAGGCCCCAAAACTGTGAATCTTAATTCCACCCAACTCATTCGACAAGATTTCACCCTGATCTAATTTTTATGCGGTCTACAAGGACCTCATTTTCAAATCAAAGGCGCCACTTTCAAATCTGCAGCGATTAATGTCTTTCAAAGTTCAAATTTGAAATTTGGTGTCAAGATTTCAGCCTGAAAATATTTTTATGCGGCTCTCGCGGTCATTATTTTCAAATGAAAGGGGTCACTTTCAAATCTGCAGCGAATAATGTCTTTTAAAGTTCAAATTTTGTGTCAAGATTTCAGCCTGAAAGTATTTTTTATGCGGTCTTCAAGGACCTCATTTTCAAATCAAAGGCGTCACTTTCAAATCTGCAGCGAATAATGTCTTTCAAAGTTCAAATTTGAAATTTGATGTCAAGTTTTCAGCCTGAAATTATTTTTATGCGGTCTTCATGGCCCTCATTTTCAAATGAAAGGGGTCACTTTCAAATCTGCAGCGAATAATGTCTTTCAACGTTCAAATTTCAAATTTTGTGTCAAGATTTCAGCCTGAATATATTTTTATGCGGCTCTCGCGGTCATTATTTTCAAATGAAAGGGGTCACTTTCAAATCTGCAGCGAATAATGTCTTTTAAAGTTCAAATTTTGTGTCAAGATTTCAGCCTGAAAGTATTTTTTATGCGGTCTTCCCTGCCATCATTTTCAAATGAAAGGTGTCGCTTACAAATCCGCAGCGAATAATGTCTTTCAAAGTTCAACCTGAAATCTGGTGTCAAGATTTTAGCCTGAAATTATTTTTATGCGGTCTTCATGGCTCTCATTTTCAAATCAAAGGCGCCACTTTCAAATGTGCACCGAATAATGTCTTTCAAAGTTCAAATTTGAAATTTGGTGTCAAGATTCCAGCCTGAAATTATTCTTATGCGATCTTCATGGTCCTCATTTTCAAGTGAAAGAGGTCACTTTCAAATCTGTAGCGAATAATGTCTTGCAAAGTTCAAATTTGAAGTTTGGTGTCAAGATTTCAGCCTGAAAGTATTTTTTATGCGGCCTTCACGGCCCTCATTTTCAAATGAAAGGTGTCACTTTCAAATCTACGGCGAATGTCTTTCAAAGTTCAAATTTGAAATTGGGCGTCACGATTTTAGTCCGAAATACTTTTTTTGTGATCTTCATTGTCCTCGGTTTCAATGATAGGCGTCTCATTCAAATTTTCAGCAAATAATGTCTTTCAAAGTTCAAATTTGAAATTTTGTGTCAAGATTTCACCCTGAAAATATTTTTATGCGGTTCTCACGGCCCTCATTTTCAAATGAAAGGGGTCACTTTCAAATCTGCAGCGAATAATGTCTTTCAAAGTTCAAATTTGAAATTTGGTGTCAAGATTTCAGCTTGAATTATTTTTATACGGCCTTCATGGCCCCCATTTTCAAATCAAAGGCGCCACTTTCCAATCTGCAGCGAATAATGTCTTTCAAAGTTCAAATTTCAAATTTGGTGTCAAGGTTTCACTCTGAAAATATTTTTATGCGGTTCTCACGGCCCTCATTATCAAATGAAAGGGGTCACTTTCAAATCTGCAGCGAATAATGTCTTTCAAAGTTCAAATTTGAAATTTGGTGTCAAGATTTCAGCCTGACATTATTTTTATGCGGTCTTCATGACCCTCATTTTCAATTCAAAGGCGCCACTTTCCAATCTGCAGCGAATAATGTCTTTCAAGGTTCAAATTTGAAATTTGGTGTCAAGATTTCACCCTGAAAATATTTTTATGCGGTTCTCACGGCCCTCATTTTCAAATGAAAGGTGTCACTTTCAAATCCGCAGCGAATAATGTCTTTCAAAGTTCAAATTTGAAATTCGGTGTCAAGATTTTAGTCCGAAATACTTTTTTTGTGATCTTCATTCTCCTCGGTTTCAATGATAGGCGTCTCATTCAAATTTTCAGCAAATAATGTCTTTCAAAGTTCAAATTTGAAATTTGGTGTCAAGATTTCAGCCTGAAAGTATTTTTATGCGGTTCTCACGGCCCTCATTTACAAATGAAAGGGGTTACTTTCAAATCTGTAGCGAATAATGTCTTTTTAAAGTTCAAATTTGAAATTTGGTGCCAAGATTTCAGCCTGAAAATATTTTTATGCGGTTCTCACGGCCCTCATTTTCAAATGAAAGGTGTCACATTCAAATCCGCAGCGAATAATGTCTTTCAAAGTTCAAATTTGAACTTTGGTGTCAAGATTTCAGCCTGAAATTATTCTTACACGCGATCTTCATGGCTCTCATTTCCAAATCAAAGGCACCACTTTCAAATCTGCAGCGAATGATGTCTCTCAAAGTTCAAATTTCAAATTTTGTGTCAAGATTTCAGTCTGAAAGTATGTTTTATGCGGTCTTCCCGGCCCTCATTTTCAAATAAAAGGTTTCACTTTCAAATCCGCAGCGAATAATGTCTTTCAAAGTTCAAATTTGAAATTTGGTGTCAAGATTTCAACCTGAAAATATTTATATGCGGTTCTCACGGCCCTCATTTTCAAAAGAAAGGGGTCACATTCAAATCTGTAGCGAATAATGTCTCTCAAAGTTCAAATTTGAAGTGAGCTGTCAAGATTTCAGCCTGAAAGTATTTTTTATGCGGCCTTCACGGCCCTCATTTTCTAATGAAAGGTGTCACTTTCAAATCTGCAGTGAATAATGTCTTTCAAAGTTCAAATTTGAAGTTAGGATTTCAGCCTGAAAATATTTTTATGCGGTTCGTACGGCCCTCATTTTCAAATGAAAGAGGTCACTTTCAAATCTGCAGCGAATAATGTCTTTAACAGTTCAAATATGAAATTTGGTGTCAAGATTTCAGCCTGAAAGTATTTTTCATGCGGTTTTCATGGCACTCACTTTCAAATCGAATGCGTCACTTTCCAATCTACAGCGAATAATGTCTTTTCAAAGTTCAATTTGAAATTTGGTGTCAATATTTCAGGCTGAAATAATTTTTTATGAGGTCTTTATGGTCCTCATTTTCAAATTAAAGAGGTCACTTTCAAATCTGCAGCGAATAATGTCTTTCAAATTTCAAATATGAAATTTGGTGTCAAGATTTCAGCCTGAAATTGTTCTTATGCGATCTTCATGGTCCTCATTTTCAAATGAAAGAGGTCACTTTCAAATCTGCAGCGAATAATGTCTTTAACAGTTCAAATATGAAATTTGGTGTCAAGATTTCAGCCTGAAAATATTTTTCATGCGGTTTTCATGGCACTCACTTTCAAATCGAATGCGTCACTTTCCAATCTACAGCGAATAATGTCTTTCAAAGTTCAAATTTGAAATTTGGTGTCAAGATTTCAGCCTGAAATTATTTTTATGCGGTCTTCATGGCCCTCATTTTCA